TAGTTCCATCTGTTTTGCTCCTGCCTGGAATGCAGGAGTTTATAACTGTTCAGATCAGGACAATAATTTAACCTCTCAAAACTGCCATATTTCAAGAGATTTGTTACCACAATTGTTGATGTAAAGCAGCATTTAATAAATCACATCATCAAATAAACAAAGTGTATTCATTCTGCTATGCATCAAAGCTACAAGACTGATGAATAGGTCTGTAATCAGCAGAATTACTCATGCTATTGTGTGAACACTTAAGCATTTTTTCAGTTCTGTGATAAAAAATATTCTTTAGTCTCAAAACCAAACCTTAATCAAAACTTTCTAACCTAACTTAACACAGTGGAGCTTTCATCTGAATAGACAAGCATGGAAAAGCAGTGTAAGATGATTATTAGAGTCGTGCGCGGAATTCGTTTCTACCATTTCTTTCATGTCTTTCATTTTTTGGGGAGCACGAAACAGGAAGCCCTCTCCCCACACAAAAATCAGTTTGACACAAAAGCAGTCTGGAGCTGATCCTGGCTTCAAGCCTGCTTTCATCCGCAGCCAAGCACCTCCCAGAACTTGCCTCCTTGCCTTGGAAAGAGAGAGAGTGTGTGATGTGCAGGCCCAGAAAGCATATGCACCTGCCAGTACCTACAGCTGAGCACCTCTTGCTCTAGAGTGTAAGGTGCTCAGATGCAGGCACTGGCAGACACACGTGCTTTCTGGGCCGGCATGCCATGCCACGTGTGTGGCATGGTGTGCTGGTAGCCTTGGAAAGTGCATGCACCTGCCAGTACCTGCAGCCAAGCATCTCCTCTAGAGTAGAAACAGCAGGTTAGAACTTGAAGCCTCCTTAAAACATGTGCTGGGAAGGGGAGCCTGGGTGGGAACCCCCCCCCCCAATTGGTCCAATAGAAAACAGATATTTCGGGGACCCAAAACAAAAACAGATATCTGCCCTCCCGAGTTTCCAAAAAATGGATCAGGGCCTCCACCAAAAACCGGGTCACGAAACAGGTCAACGTTTAGCCCGAATGCACAACCCTAATGTTTACATCAAATTAGTTAATATCATTTCCAGAGTTGGTGCAAGTTACAGTTCCTAATCAAGTGTATCAAGTTGAATTTGAATTTCAAGACCACAGTCGTTTGGTTTTTTATTTATGGTGAACCATGGCATTTCTGTATACAAGTGGAACTGGTGGTAATGTTTTGGTTTTCAGATTGCAATTCTGGCAGGTAAAATTAGTTTCACTTGGAAAGGAAACAAAACTTTTAGCACTTAAAACGTTTAGGTCTACACCAGAATCCACAACATTTAAAAGAGCAATTAATCTCACAGGTTTTAAATGAGACTAGCATCATATCTAAAATGTTATAGTTACTGTCTCTGCAAATGGTTTTTACATTTGCTACTATTCAAATGCGCTGTATGGTGTAGCTGCTTCAGGATATCACTAAATCATGTCTTTATGGATCATAGTCATGGTGTCATTCCATTTCTTTATTTTGTTTCTTGTTTCAAAGTGCATCACAGGTTTGGTTACTCAACAGCAGCAAAAATAAAACCCCTTGGTGTTTTTTTAAAAATCCTTACTAGTGCATAAGGTGTTGTTAATGGTTTCCCACCCGCTATTTTTGTACAGAGAGCATTAGCGTCAAGGGATTGAAGAGTGGAAATGTAAAGTAGGTGCAATGCTCAAGACAGAGAATGTTGGTTGTGTGTTTGAGATGAATGCAGTGGAACCAAATGGAAAGGACAGGATGCTTTGGAGACAGTTTTGATGAAATGAACTGTTGCTTATGGGAAATCTACAAAAACAATTATCTAGGCTTTGTTTTTGTTTTTAACTCTTGTTTGCTGCTTTAAAAATTGATGCTATTTTGGCATGTCTCCTTAGCTGATGCCTGAAGTGATGCCATTATAGAATTTAAGATCAGCTAACCTAGCAAAAGAGATTGAGGAATTCTGCTTTGGGTGTGTTGCGCATAGCGAGGATTCAATTGTATGAGGATCATGAGAATATATAATAAATTGTTTAAATACTTTAAGCTTAAATAAATCCTTGTAAGCATACCGGCAAGCTTTTGTATATTTTTTGAATGTTATGACAAATAAAATGTATTTTTCAATAAACTATATTATAAACAACCTATTCTTATACTGCCTGGCTTATTTAAAAGTACGACTGCATGTTTTCAAACTGCTAGGTTGACAGAAGCTGGGGCTAATAGCAGGAGCTTAGCTTGCTCCCTGGATTCAAACTACTGACATTCTGGTCAGCAAGTTCAGCAATTAATCTGCTGCACCACCGGCGGCTCTACAGTATCTTAGGAAGACATTAATAAAGTGTAGGGAGTATTTTGGCCCTGATATTTTCAGATCTTCCCTTGATCCCCAGTCAAGAAATTGATTAATCAAAGAAGCCAGGAGAATTAGGATCTCATTGGAACTTGAAGGGAATTTAATAGAGTTGTGCACGGATCCATATCCCTTCGTTACATCCGTTCTTTTGTTACCTTTGGGAGCACGTAACGGGAAGCCTCTCCAGATACAAAAAGCAGCTCAACACGAAATCAAGTGGGAACCAATCCTCGGCTCCCCCTCTGCTTTCGTGAACACATGATGCTTTATGCCACCTTGCCTTGGAAAGGGAGAGTGTGTGTGTAGTGTGCAGAATCAGCGTGCATGCATACCTGCCTGCACCCAAGCAACTCTTCTAGGTAAGAAATTCAGAACTTGCCTCCTTGCCTTGGAAAGAGAGAGTGTGCCTGGCATGCAGGCCCAGAAAGCATGCATGACAACCTGCAGCTGAGTGGCTCTTCTCTAGAGTAGAAACAGGTAAGAAGCCTCCTTAAAATGCACATCTGTCTGCAGCTGACTGCCTCTTCTCTAGAGTAAAACAGCTTATATGCCAAAAATGATGGGAAGGGGAGCTTGGGAAGTCCCCCTCCCCATAATGGGCTGATAGAAAATGGATCTTTCAGAACCCCAGAGTGAAAATACATATCTGCCCTTCTTATTTCAGGAGGCTCCCAAAGATATTGATACTGAATGCACAATGTTCTAAGTGTTCTACGGTCCTATAGTTACACTTATCATATGAAAGTTTAGAGCTAGATTTGACTGTGACCATGTTTTTGTTCATTGTACGGTTGCCATAACAACATGGTTCTTTATGTAAGTAAACCATTATCTTTTGACAGCCAGCTGTTGAGTGAAAAAAATCTGCCTGGAATCCCCATTATGTCCAGCTGTTGGGGTCATATATCTTCAGAACCAAGAGCATGATTATGGTATGAGGAAGACTCTGCAAGGGCATTTATCACTTTGAAAGGAACAAAGCTGGACTCAGAAGCTTGCATTTGCTGATCTGTTTTGATTTAAATGAAAGAAATACTTTCAAGAATAAAGGTTGCTGGAGCTCTAAGGTTGGCTGAGCAAAGCAACTGTTGGACTGCAAAGGGCTTGTTTACACTAATAAGATTTTCATTCCCCTACCCTTCCCACCACACTCATGATCACTGATAATTAACCAGAAGATAATCTGCACTACACTATTGTTGGAATGTAATTGCATATCATCTTTCTGTCTGGCAGAGAATTCGACATTGTTGTTTGAGGAAATTTGTTTCAGAATTGAGGAGATCAATTCAGAATTTCTTCTCAATACTTGAATGGACTCCAACACGATACGATGTGGAAACCAAGGACAATCGCTTCAGAAAGAGTAGGATGTTTTACTAGAACAAAGTTGGGGAATGTGTGGATTTCCTGTTGTTGTTGCCATGCAATCATTATCAGCTATAGCAGTGTTTCTCAACTTGGGGGGTCAGGACCCCTGGGCGGGTCACGAAAGGAGTGTCAGAGGGATCGCCAAAAACCATCAGACAACACAATATTTTCTCTTGGTCATGGGGATTTTGTGTGAGAAGTTTTGTCCAATTCTATCATGGGTGGGGTTCAGAATGCTCTTTGATTGTAGGTGAACTATAAATCCCAGCAACTACAACTCCCAAATGTCAAGGTCTGTTTTCCCCAAACTCCATCAGTGTTCACATTTGGGCATATTGAGAATTCACACCAAGTTTGGTCCAGATCCATCATTGTTTGAGTCCAAAGTGCTCTCTGGATGTAGATGATGCCTTCCGGTATTTACTCTTAGTCATGGGAGTTGTGTGTACCAAGTTTGGTTCAATCCCATTGTTGGTGGAGTTCAGAATGCTCTTTGATTGTAGATTAACTATAAATCCAGGAACTACAACTCCCAAATGACAAAATCAATCCTCCCCAACCCCACCAGTATTCAGTTTTGGGTATATCAGGTATTTGTGCCAAATTTGGTCCAGTGGATGGAAATACATCATGCATATCAGATATTTACATTACTATTCATAATAGTAGCAAAATTACAGTTATGAAGTAGCAACAAAAATAATATTATGGTTGGGGGTCACCACAACATGAGGAACTGTGTTAAGAGGTTGCGGCATTCGGAAGGTTGAAAACCACTGAGCTATAGGCATCATTACCAATGGTCAGAATTGGTGCGAATCGTAATCCAACTATAATGCTGGTAGTAGACATTGCCAGGGAAATATGAATGGTGCCCCAGCAGGTATGTTCGTATGCTTTTAAAAGCAATTTTATGGCCAATGGGCCGATTATTAGTGCTGATAACTAAAGAGAACACCCACTTTCAAGTTATATTGATCACAAAATAATAGAAACAATAATAACAAATTGTGATCTCTATATTCGACTTCTGAGTTTTCCAGAGGCATTTAGCTCTCTGCTTTTAGATGTAAAATGTTGGACTAAATGGCTATTTAGCCATTTAGCAAGGTTGGGTGAGCAACCACAACTAGAACTAGAGATATCGTGTCAGATGTCCACCTCAACCCCTCAAAATCTATATCTTCATAATCTGACAAGATCAAAGGAATCATAAACAATCTGACAGATCAAAGGAATCATAAAAGTAACTATATTATTCAAAATCAAAAGCATGACAATCTTCTCATTCAACTTTTCCAGTTTTATTTGATAGATTCTGTATGGGCGTTCAAGTTTGTAGTTGACAACAATATATAATGTTTTTAGAAAGTATAATCATCCTGTTGAAATGTGATTCACTAGGCAACAAAGGTGAACACATTTTCCATAATCCAACACCTCATTGAAGGCAGGAATTCCAGTGCATGGATGCAGCCTTCCCATTTATTTCCATGCAGGATCCACAGGTATACACAGATGGAAAGTACGCTTTGGATTACCTGGATGTCCTTGCCTTCCTAATCATCATTGGATGGTTTATGGAAGAATGTGTGTGGTGTTTCCTATTTCATCTTTTTCTGCTGTTCCTCCAAGATGCTCAAGGCAAGATAAACAAATCTCCTTCTAGTCCCCCAAGACTTCTATGAGGTATGTACATTAGGGACTGCCCCAAGCTAAAATGTCTAAGGACTGAAGTCATATCTGTCTTGTCAAATTCCAACAGCAGATCTTTTAATTAGTCTCAGCAATTTTATGATAGACTTATGTCATGATTACTTTATCTATCTATCTATCTATCTATCTATCTATCTATCTATCTATCTATCTATCTATTTCACAATAGTAATAAAAGTATCAGGGTAGCTGCGGTCATTTTGATGAATTTGGCCAGCAAAGTATTTGAGGAAAACCAGAGAACTAATGTGTAAGTTATGGTTATGCAGAAGGATTTTACAGATTAAACAGAATAAATGGGACCCATGGCTGTCTTAATGCAATACAATATAGAAAATGAAGTATCTTAGGTAAGGGTTTTCCCCTGACATTAAGTCTAGTCGTGTCCGACTCTGGGGGTGGTGCTCATCTCCATTTCGAAGCCGAAGAGCCGGCGTTGTCCATAAACAAGGGCAGTCAAATTTGTGAAATGATCATGAGGATCCATTCTAAGCCACAGAGTGATCCTGAGAATCCACATCGGTTTTTACAGAACACAAGGGCCGGTACTTTTGTATTCTTCTTTGGTTAGAATAAACAGCTCCCAAACCACTACATTACACTGGCTCTCAATATTTCTATACATAGGTAAAGGTAAAGGTCTCCCCTGACATTAAGTCTAGTTGTGTCCGACTCTGGGGGGTGGTGCTCATCTCCATTTCTAAGCCAAAGAGCCGATGTTGTCCGTAGACGCCTCCAAGGTCATGTGGCTGGCATGACTGCATGGAGCACTGTCACCTTCCTGCCGGAGCAGTACCTATTGATCTATTCACATTTGCAAGTTTTCGAACTGCTAGGTTGACAGAAGCTGGGGCTAATAGCAGGAGCTCAGCCTGCCCCCCGGATTCGAACTGCTGACATTCTGGTCAGCAAGTTCAGCAATTTGACGGTTTAACCCACTGCACCACTGGCGGCTCTACAGTATCTTAGGAAGGCATTAATAAAGTGTAGGGAGTATTTTGATATTTTCAGATCTTCTCTTGATCCCCAGTCGAGAGCTTTGTTTCAGAACTACAGACCAATACAGAATATGTATTTTTACTGAAGTCACATGTTGTTTGCCATTTCTGAACATTAGGAAGAACTTCCTGACTGTGAGAGCTGTTCAGCAGTGGAACTCTCTGCCCTGGAGTGTGGTGGAGGCTCCTTCTTTGGAAGCTTTTAAACAGAGGCTGGATGGCCATCTGTAAGGGGTGCTTTGAATACAATATTGGACTGGATGGCCCATGAGGTCTCTTCCAACTCTATGATTCTATGATTCTCTCAACAAATACAACCAACACTTTATTTAGTGTTGTATCATTTCTGAGTGTACAGTTTGTTAGCCCAAATTCTTTAGAATGGAGAGATGGGGAACGGGGTGGTGAAGCAAAAAGAACACCCCATTCCCCATCTAGAATCGGGTTGTAATCTTAAATGCACTAACTATTAGAACATTGAACACTAGGGGTCTTCTGATTATTCTGTAAATTACAAACTATATCTCATAGAGCCCCCAGTGGCGCAGTGAGTTAAACCCTTGTGCTGGCAGGACTGTGGACTGACAGGTCAGCAGATTGAATCCAGGGAGTGCGAGTTGAGCTCCTTCTGTCAGCTCCAGCTCCCCATGCAGGGACATGAGAGAAGCTTCCCAAAAAGATGGTAAAACATCAAATATCCGGGTGTCCCCTGGGCAATGTCCTTGCAGACAGCCAATTCTCTCACAACAGAAGCAACTTGCAGTTTCTCAAGTCACTCCTGACATGAAAAAACAAAGAAAACAAAACTATATCTCACGTGAATAATATGTAGAATAATTATTTATGAACATATATAAATGAAACATAAAAGGTTTACTGCTGTTAAAAATAATTTCCTAACACTATTTTGTCTCTCTATTCCAATTAAACAAATCATGCAACAATGTGCAAGGGAGAGGTAAACATCCATTAGGATCATCTACTGTCACCCCATTAAAATGTATGGGGTTGTCCTAGAACATAACTCAGCTATTCATCTAATTATGAAAAATATGCCAAAAATAAAAAATAAAAAATGCCCACAAATGTGCATGTTAATTTGTACATGCATAGAAAAATGCAAAAATATAAAAATGTGCATAAAAGTACATAATAATTTTTGTGCAGAATACAAAACACTCCTACTGAACCAGAACTGTACAAGTTTGGCAGTGGGGGGAAATGATATATCTCAAGGAGATCAAGGTTCCAGTTTCACCAACGATTTGCACAGAAAAGTGTTTTTAAGAATGTCATTTTTTTAAAAAAACAACACCACTAAAACAATAATCCCTTCAACAATGAGTCTACTGTGGATGGCAAAGCGATAAATACACCTATAAATAATAACTGTTGTACTGCGTCACTTTCAAAATTGCCTATCACAGTGTTTTGTATTTCCTGGTTGAGGAAACAATGTATATTTGCTGTGGAGCCATGGTGGTGCAATGAGTTAAACCCTTGTGCCGGCTGAACTGTTGACCTGCAGGTCAGTGGTTCACGAGATGGGGTGAACTCCCGTCTGCCAGCTCGTTTCTCATGCAGGGACATGAGCCTCCCACAGGATGGAAAAACATCTGGGTGGCAATGTCCTTGCAGACGGCCAATTATCTCACACCAGAAGCGACTTGCAGTTTCCCAAATCACTTCTGACACAGAGGAAAAAATAACATTAAAGTGACATGGATCTTTTGGGATAAGCTAGATATAACAGGACAATTCCCAACTATATCTGCAATCTTTGGTTTTCTATAGTTAAAGGAACTATAGCAGTGTAATGTTAAGCAAGGAAAGATCATGCATTTCCCTGCATTCCCCTTCCCTGACATGATTTTCTGCTATTACATTACTTGAAATATTATTAAATAGGGAGAGGAGAGGAAAGATACAAAACAAATGTCTTTATTTTCCCTCTGAGATGAGAAACACCTTTAGAGGAATTTTTAAGTTTTGGGATTGATGGGAGAGATAATGAGCCAGAAAAGAAATCTTTGCCCAGCATTGTGACCCCAATCCAAGTTACACCTTCATTTTACACTAGATACTTTTGGGGGGAAAATCAAAGAAAAATACTTTGTGAAACATAAAGTGAGGTGCCATATCACATTATCCTGTGTGAATCCCTTGAAGCAAAACCCGCCCTAACCCACCCTAGCCCAGACACCCACTTCTTAAATATAAGTAAATATGTAAACAAGTATATATACACACTCAAGACTTGATTCTGGGCCTCTTGAAGTTGACAGCAAAGTTCTCCTAGACATGACCATCACAGATTCAGGCCCTAAGTTGGCACAGCAGTACATGGAAACCAACATCAGGCATGGGGTTGGTCAGATGTCTATTAAAACCAACTTTCCGATGAGGAGTCAGACTGGTCACTGAAAACTTTCCTGCACATATGGGAGTTTTCTTGGTGGAGGGGATATTCAGAACCGTCCAGCAGCCCCACTTTTCCTTTCCGGATTACATAAGGTTTTCCAGGTGTTAGGCCTTCGTATTTAGTAACGAATTGCCTATCAAAAACAAACAAACAAACCAAGGTCATTATATACAGTAGAATCTCACTGGATAAGTGAAAATGTTGGATAATAAGGAGGGATTAAGGAAAAGCCTATTAAACGTGAAATTATGATTTTACAAATTAAGCACCAAAACATCATGTTTTACAACAAACTGACAGAAAAAATAGTTCAATACATTCTAACGTTATGTAGTAATTACTGTTTTTACGAATTTAGCACCAAAACATAGCAATGTATTCAAATTGCTGTGGATCCGGGCAGGAGGCAGACTGTGTTGGATAATATAGAACGTTGGATGAACAAAGGTTAGATAAGTGAGACTCTACTATAATATCATTTGCTATACTGAAAAAAGTATCTTATCCTTTGAATGATCCTTCTTCACTATACAGTCAACTGCAGAAGTTTATGGGAGAATTCCTGCCTTTCCAGGATCTTCTAAAGCAGGTGTGGGCTACCTATTGGAAGTGTAGGGAACAGCGTTCATAATTCACTGGAAGTGGCATCTACAGCTTGTAGTAGCTGCTGAAAATGCCGACTGAGGCTCCTTCTACACATCTGGGGGAAAAAACCCACATTGTCTGCTTTGAACTGGGATATATGGCAGTGTGGACTCAGATATTCCAGTTCATAGCAGATATTGTGGGATTTTCTGCCTTGATATTCTGGGTTATATGGCTGAGTGGAAGGGCCTGGCATCATCTCCTTTGGTCAGTTCTCTCTTCTCCTTCCCACAAGCCAGTGTGATTTTCACAGGCTTTGAGAAAACATAGGAGGGCTGGTCAAACAATTGGATTCCTTTGTTCCCTCTGCTAGAAAGTTTCATCTCACCTATCCATCATGTTTTGTTATACTGTGGCTATTCTGGCATGTTTAGTTGAATTTATGTTGTATTTAAGCTGCTTCAGCATGGGTCTAGATTTTTTTTTTGGTGTGGACAGGACCTGAAGGCCCAACAAAACAGGTCAGGAAGGCACTTTAAGGGGGCCTTTGGGGGAGGAATGAATGTGGTCATGCCCAGCTCAGAGGTCAATGGTTTCTCTCTGTTTTCAGGTGCCAGAGGTATCACGCAGTGGCTTCCACCCATGTAGATTGCAGAGCTACCCAGAACATAGGCTGGAATTTGATTGATTATTAGTTGGGTGGATTGATGTTGGATATGAACCCATGATGGGTTTAGCTTCCTCAGATGTAATCAATAATATTGTAGTAACTCCTTGTCAATTTATGTGGCTGCATCTCTTAGGTCATGTGAAAGCCTTATTCACAGCCGAGTCCACAGTGTGTGACTCTACTGATGTTGTTGGAATGCCATTCCCGTTACCCCTCTTTGGAATAGCCAAAAGCAATGAATCAGAAGAATTGCAGACAATAACATCTGCAAGTTGCATATTTCCCTTCCTTGGGGCCCTTAGCCAAAGTTAACATGGCCCTCAAAATAATTCATAGGCAGTTGGAATGCTTCTATAGAATCTTCCAAGTCTTCCAGAGCAAATTTGCAATCTGCTTCTGGTGGAAGGACTTAGTAATACCCAGTAAAGTGTCCTCTGAGATATTTAAAAAAAATTTTTTTTTGCATTTTTCCACTTTTGCAGGAGTCTGTGCCCCTAACCTCCACAAAAGTGGACACCCTATTGTATATTTCTTCACCAACCACAACAGCATAAATGGTATCAAACAAATGGCTAATAGAGCATTGGATCCTTTGGTTGCGACTGCCACAATTAGCAGCACTCAGATATCTGCAGAGGGGGTGCTTTGAATGTGATTTTCTTGCTTCTTGGCAGGGGGTTGGACTGGATGGCCCATGAGGTCTCTTTCAACTCTATAATTCTATGATTTTATGAGGCATATGATTTTATCTTTAAAGCAAAGAAGCAATGGGATTTATTTGATGCATACTTGCTTCCATCCAGTGGAGGAGATATTAATAATCCTGAGGACACTCTCTGCTAGATGGCTACTTGAGTATACAACCAAGCATAAAATCAGTCTTTTTCACTGCTTGCATTACCACATGATAGGTATTCAGTCTTATTTTCCTCAGTCTCTCCACCATTCCAACTGCATTTGGTGAGGACGAGAGATAGGGCCTTCTCCGTGGTGGCCCCTTGGTTGTGGAACTCCCTCCCTAATGAGATCAGATCTGTCCCCTCCCTCCTGACCTTCTGGAAGAAACTCAAATCCTGGCTGTGGGAGCAAGCGTTTGCAGAATAGACTGATTTAGTGGTGAAGATAAGGTTTTAGCGGACCGCAATGAACTGATTTGGATGACGACTGAACCGGTGAACTGTTTTAATGTATATTTATAACTGTTTTTAATTTATGCTAATTGTATTTTATGTTATGTTTTATATTGTGTCAGCATTGAATAGTTGCCTGTTGGAAGCCATCCTGAGTCCCTCTTCGGAGGTTGAGAAGGACAGGGTATAAATGTTCTAAATAAATAAATACCTGAATGGGGTCTCTGTTCTGTCCATCCGTATGCAGACTAAAAAGGGATACTGTGAAAACTGTACAGTGGTGAGCACATCCAGTGTCGCTTCGACTTCAGAACTGGTTTCCATGCCAGCCTTCACAAAGGAGGCGTCCACAACAATGTTGCCAACAATTGCCGCAGCTCCCCTACAAGAAGAGATGGAGAAACAAGAAGAATGTCAGAAACACTGAAAGGCACTGAGAACATCTGAAGGACATCTCCCCAGCAATTGTCCATAACATGTTATTGAAGGCTTTTGTGGCCAGAGTCACTGAGTTGCTGTGAGTTTTTTCAGGCTGCATAGCCATGTTCTTACCTAGTTTCCAACAGACCTCACAACCTCTGAGGATGCATCCCATAGATGTGGGCGAAACATCAGGAGAGAATGCTTCTGGAACATGCCCATACATCCTGGAAAACTCACAGCAGCCCAATCACCCATAACTTCTAGATAAAGTTGCATGATGTCATTATATTTTCAAATCATTATCCCAGATGACATACTTTCTTTGCCCAACATTTACCAATTGTTTTTGTTAAATCTTTATCTGTTTTGATTACTGATTAAGATTTCTACAGTTACATTGAATTTAAATTCCCTAGGTTGATAGCATTATTTAGTACAAAGGTATCTTGGAGCACCTTAGAGAAAATGAAGCTGTTAAAATAAAGTTTATGCTACCAAAGTTGTTCTCTCAAAATCCCTTATCATACCGACATTTCAGATTAACATAGCTATGTCTTTGGATTATTCAGTGCATTTTCTTCAATGATATTTGATTGCTTACTGGGTTTTGACATTTGTTTTGGATTCTCGGTACCAAAGGCTGAATTCTATCCCGCCTGAGACATCAATGGCAATGCCTCCCTGGAATTCAGTGCTGCAAGTCAGACCAGATTGTAGCTGGATTACCTGAAAGCAGAAAGAAGCTCATAATTAATATTCCTTATATTATTCAGTGCATAACATATCCCTACTGTGGTTCCATGTCTATAAGTGGAAAGACAAACATGAAACAATTCTGGTTCATTTGAGGCTGTCAATGGGTGCACTGCAAACATCATTTGTCTAATTTAAAAGCAGCAGAAGACAGAGCAAGCTAGTTTTCCGTTGTTCAAGACTAGAACTCAAACCAATGGATTCAAATGACATAAGATTCTAATTAAACATTTGGAAGAATTTCTTGCATGTAAGAGCTATGTGAGAATGAAAGAAACTTTCTCAGGGTGTGATGAACTCTCCTTCTTTGGAAGATTTTAAACAGAAGTGTGATATACTGTACATACTTCAGTATAAGCCGAGTTTTTCAGCCCCCGTCGGCTTGTACTCGAGTCAAAGTTATTTATTATTTTGCTCTGTTATTATTATTATTATTATTATTATTATTATTATTATATTACATTTATTATTTTACTCTATTTATTATTATTACATTTACATAATTTTACTCTAGTATTATTTTATTATATTTATTATTTTACTCTATTTATTATTATTACATTTATTATTGTACTCTAATATTATTACATTTATTTACTCTATTTGTACTGTTATTATTACATTTATTAGTTTACTCTCTTTATTATTATTGGAAGGATATGTAAGCACATTTACACTGAAGAGCTGGACTGTCATATCTCAAATTATAGTTTTATGTAAATATTCAAAAACATTTCACCTACCGATACCTCAATTAATGTAATTTTATTGGTATCTATTTTTATTTTGAAATTTGCAAGTAGCTGCTGCATTTCCCACACTCGGCTTATACCCGAGTTAATATGTTTTCCCAGTTTTTTGTGGTAAAATTAGGTGCCTCGGCTTATATTCAGATTGTCTTAAGTCTAGTCGTGTCTGACTCTTGATGGGGATGGTGGTTCTCATCTCAATTTCTAAGCCAAAGAGCCGGTGTTGCCTGTAGACACCTCCAAGATCACATGGCCAGCATGGCTGCATGGAGCACTGTTGCCTTCCCACAGAAGCAGTGCCTATTGATCTACTCACATTTGCATGTTTTCAAACTGCTAGGTTGGCAGAAGCCGGGGCTAATGGCGGTGGCTCATCCCACTCCCTGGATTTGAACTGCCAACCTTTCGGTCAGCAAGTTCAGCAGCTCAGTGGTTTAACCCACTGCTCCACCAGGGTACCCGGGTTGGCTTATACTCGAGTATATATGGTAGCTTGAAGAGTGCTTTAATTGTGTGTTCTTATCTGCACTAAAGACTTAGGAGGATTTTAAGCCCATTGCCTTTTCTCCAAAGGAAGTTGTGAACAGGACTAGTGATCTGCTGCATTAAATGTTCATTGTTCTAATCAAACACAACAAAGCTCTTTTTTGTTGATTTTCTTATCCAGAAAAGCAAGAAAGAACCCATACTCATTTGAACATTACATGTGAGATATGGAGCAGCTTTTAATTGCCCAGCACTGTGTACGTACTCCATAGTGCCAAAATTGTTTTCCAAAGAGAAAAAAAAGCCCTCTCTTCCTCTCCAATCATATACCACCTACTGCGATCATAGCATAAAAGAGATTCTGTAAGAAGTGCCAAACGATTTTCCACATAATTCGGCAGGAGACCCAAGTTCATGGGCAGGCAGGAGGTGGTTGCTTTCGCTGAGCTTTCTGCCAAAGCTGGCTCCCAGCTGTCAGAATCTTTTACAGCTGGACTGGAACTCCATCCCTCAGAGTCAATTTTGGAAGTGATAATAGCTCAGGGTCAGAGCAAGTCATTTCATTTGAATGCTGATAGACAGCCAAGATTTTAAAGTTCACACAGCTTGGAAACCAGATTAATGTTATATATAGCCACCCTACAGAGCATATAACAAGGTAAAATACAGTCCTAAACATGCAAATTTATTTGGAAGTCCTGTATCTTAAACTCAATGGGGTTTMTGTGTCTTCAAATAATCTGTCAGTTTATGGAGGTGCCATGAATTTCATAAGAAGGTTAAAATATACCAAGAGATGGTGTTGCCAGAAAAAGAAATGGGGGGGGGGGTTGATGGAACAGCCCATTGGAAGTGAAATGAATATTCATCTGAAATATAGGTAACAACAACAACAACAACAACAACAACAACAACAACAACAACAACAACAACTTTAACCTTATATCCTGCCACCATCTCCCCGAAGGGACTCGGGGCAACTTACAGGGAGACCAAGCCCAGCATCAACAAGGAATTCAAAGATACATAACTAAAAACATAGAAATAAACAATATAATTTACACAATAAAAACCAGAAAAGTCAAAACATCATAAATCATATCAATCAACCACCAATAACCGGAAACAGTGGGCATGTTCAGATTCAAGATGGCAGTGTAAGGCTTATGCAAGATGCAGAACAATAGGGCTGGGGCTGGAAGTAAAGTGCTGGAAAAACCAAAACAATAATTAAGGCTGGGTAGACCTGATCAGGAGCTAAACAGACATTCAAAGGCACACTTGAACATCCAAGTATTCAAGCCTTTATGGAAAGTGGACAGAGTGGGGGCTAATCTAATCTCCCTGGGGAGAGAGCTCCAAATTTGGGGGGGGGGGGCACTACCAAGAAGGTCCTGTCCCTCGTCCCTATCAATCGTCCTTGCAACAGAAGTGGGAGCGAGAGAAGGGCCTCCCCAGCAGATCTTAGAGCTCACGCCGGTTCATAGAGGGAGATATAGTCACGAAGATTAGCAGAACCCAAAGGGCTTTTATAGGTAATAATCTGCAATTTGAATTGGGACCAGAAACTTATTGGCAACCATTGGAGCTGCTTTAGTAGAGGTGTCATCCGTTCCCTGTAACTAGCTCCAGTTGACAACCTGGCTGCCGATCTTTGGACCAGTTGCAGTTAATACTAATTGCTTTAATTGCTTTTTCAGAAAGCAGGTTGAAACCAAATCTGAAAATGTATGTTGTTTAAATTTTTAAAGGCAGCCCCAAGTAGAGTGAGTTGCAGTAATCCAATCTAGATGCAACCAAGTGTGGACCACCATGGCCAAGTCAGGCTTCTTGAGGTACAGTTGTTGTTGGTGGCCCTCCTGGCCACCACCAACACCAGAGCATCAAGGCTCAGGCCAAGTCCAGGAGGACCCCCAGATTGTGAACCTGTGTCCTCAGGGGGAATGTAACCCCATCAAGCACAGGATGTCATCCTATACCCCAACTGGCCCCATGACTGACTATAGTACCTAGTATATTGGCCAGCCAAATACTAACCACAGTAGCCTAAGCTTCTCTTCCAAAATCAAGAAGTAAACTTAGTCTACAAAAGTTTATGCTACCGATTTTGTTCTCTCAGTTAGAAGGTGTTATTAAACACTTCTGCATGGTGATAATGAGCTGTTGCACATCAATCATTAGTTTTGACGCCATTGCCTACAAGGGCAGAACATGTTGTACAGGGAACAAAGAAAACTGACTAAAACTGAAAACAAAGTTAGGCATGCTTAAAACCCATTGCATTCAATGGCCTTAAGCATGTCTAGCTCTGTACTACATTTAGGTCATTATGTACAGTTGAATATTTAGTGCTTACCTGGGAGTAATCCATCAGGAGAATGAGTCCTTTTAAAACATTTACAGGGTCTCCAGTGGCTGAGAACATTTTAGACATTAAATCACCATATCCTTGGAAAAAGGTGACTGGCCTAAGCTGAACATCACACACAATTGCTGACACACCAGAAAAGGACTCCAAATTTTCTTCACCTTCATCTGCATTTGCAGCTATTAAGGATTCCAGACCCTGGGCCTCAAGGACCACCTATAAGAAGACAATGGTATATTGTTTGTTTGACGAAGGCTGGCCACATGCATGTAATGACATTGTTTCTATCCAGGCATGCATTCCAACCAAGCCTGTGTAACTTCACCAATGTTGTCCATTATGCATCTTCAAATGACCATGCCCCACATTTTTCTTAAGAGCAACTAAGTGTGGGAAACACAGGGCTTCTTTAGGTAGCAATTGCACAGGAGAAGAAAGAAGACCCAACAGCTGCAGATCTTGGAAGTAACATGTTAAAAATAACATTGTTACTCATGATTTCTTTTCTTAGTAGCAAACACTTTAACTCGTTTTAATTTCAATAACATACATCAGTAAACACAGCAAAACAACATTTGAATGGCAGATAATACTAATTCAAAACATCTTGAAGCAGTCATCTGGGGGAAATATTTTTTTTTTAAAAAAAATCAGTTTTCAAGTATTACATTAATAACATGTTACCCACTACTAACATAACAGTAGAATATTTAAATTGTGTACTAATGCATTTATGTTAAGCTGCTTTGAGTCCCCCCCAGGAGAGAAAAAGCGGGGTATAAATAAATGTAGTAACAACAACAACAACAACAACAACAATTATGATCATGCTAACAATTAGGTTAATTACAAATAAATATTTTGGAAATCCAACAATCTTTATGTTTTTGCCACCACTGCCTATTTCTACTTTCAAGGCAGTGACTGTGATAACTCCTGTTCATTTTTTGGAAAAGTGAGTTAGGTTGTTGATGGGCTCTCTCTTGCATGTGTGAGAGAGAAATGAGAAAGCCTGGAGAGAGACTCAAGGGTTTGTGAAATGGTGGGAGGAATAGATTTGCACTGAGCACTAATATGGATCCTCAGTCCTCTTCAATAATATTTGCAGAATGATTCCTATCCTGGCTTTAAAGTGTAGGACTAGAAGCAAAAGATGGCAATTGCAGGGAACTGCAAACACCAAACAGAAGGCACTTCTTTGTTTAAGAGTTGTTTGACAGTAGAGCAGTGGTTCCCAACCTTTTATCAACCAAGGACAACTTGACCAGAGACCACTCACCAACATTAGTACCAAAAGGTTACGAATCGGTTCTTAGTCAACTTTAGATCAGTTTGGTTATTTGGGGTGCCGATTCAGAAAATTGTATTGGATAGACCACATCAGCTCTAGTACAGAACATATGACATCCAGTAGTCACCATCTGCTCACCCACAGAAACCCATATTCAATCAGCCTCAGCACTACAAGAAGTTTTTGCGAAACCAGTTGCTCTTGTCGCAACAGTGTATTAAACATGAGGCCGTGGACCATATTTTAGTTCTTGTGGACCACTGGTGGTCCACAGACCACAGGTTGGGAATCACTGCAGTAGAGGAGATGATTTGCTCACTTCTGTTAGAAGTATTTAAGCAGTGCCTGGACAAGCCATCTACAAGGGATGCTGTAGCACTATCATACTGACCATCCAAGGTCCCTTCCCACTCTATAATTGTATCATTCCATTAGAGTTTGATAATAGATGTGAGTCTGATATTCAGGGATGAGAAAAATGCAGCAACACCAATTCTGATCTTCTCCACAATTATTAAAATGCAGGATGTTTGTACTCTTTTGCATTTGCCTTCATTTCAATAAAATATTTTTTAAAAGGAGATGGCAATTCTATTCCTTAAAAAAGGACCTAAACTTCAGCAACACTGCCCATACTTTGCATGCCAAAAGTCTCAGGTTCCTTCCCATCTCCACTTACAAGACTCAGGTGATGGGAATAACTTTTCCCTGAAACTCTGGAGGAACTATGTTAGTCAGTATTAACACTTCTAAGCTGGATGGACAAACAATTAGATGAGCTATAATGTTTGCAAATCGAGACCTTGCCCCTGCTACACCACCTTCTTGGCTCTCAGTATGGTATAACAGATTTGCTATATTATACAGGGGTCTTACCTGGGTGGCTTGCAGCCGAGCAAAGTCATTGAAAAGTAAGATATTCATGTTACTTCTTCTAAAGATACCTGAGCCAGAATAGAGGATGTCAAGGCTATAGGTAGACGAGGCATCTGGGCCACCTTGAATAAGCAAATGCATACATTGTGATTCTTTTGGGTGGAAACGGAGCACCAAGAAATAATGCCATAATTATATCCGGTGTTTAGTCACACATACGTTTTAGGTGTCCAGAAAAGGCTGAAGAAGAACCCATCTTTGAGAATCGGTCATAGTTGTGAATCAACATGTCCTTCAGAACTCCGCGAATCATTTTGCTGAAACACAAAGAAGTGTCCTTAATCAGCAGTAAAATTACACCAGAACTAGCTTACATGACCAAATCTTGCACTTTTAAAATATTTAGTATCTAAAAATAGGGGGGAAAGGTATCACAGGGACTGGGGATAAAATGGCACCGCAACACGACTGCCAGGTTAAATAAGGGGAAGGTTCCCTTTACCGTTAACAATAAGTATCACTCTTATATGAGGGAAGCCTTCTTTCCTCTTTTGTACAACCATTAAAGGGACAAGAGCTCTTTGTAGGGTTGCCAGTCCAGGATCATCCCAGGTCATGAGGTTTACAGGCCAAAACCTGAACTCTAGACACAGCACCTGGTGAGGCAATTAAGCCTCATGCATTAAATACCAATTACAGTTGCTCACAGATGGCCATTTAAAAGATCACACTGAGGTCATACGTTCTTATTTGCCAATTAAGGACCTCATCCCATTAGCAGGAGAAAAGCAGAAGGAACCATCTTACATCGTCTCCTACTGCCAAGGTCCATCTTCTGGGGTTTCCTGCCATCCCACACCCTTTCCCTATCTCTCCCACATCTTAAGCCATTTAGAGTTGGGTAGCACCTGACTCCTGAAAATGCATTCTGGGCTCCATTTTTATGCGCTGCAGAAACAGAGTCACATCAGAAGTGCCCTTACGTCATGTGATGGCTTCTGTGGGACTCTGTTTCTGAAGCACATAAAAATGGAGCCCAGAATTCATGGGATGAGGTCCTAAGAGAGAAATTATAGATAAAGGGACCATTTCCACAGCAAGGTCAATTGAGGGAATTATCCTTCTTATCTACTCAGAGAGAAAACTAAGAATCATTTGCTTCAAGCCAAACGGTGACTGCAGAGCCAAGCGGAAAGTGAGCTCTGGCCTACAACAACTGATAAGGAAGGAGAAAACCAATTAAGTAAATAAAGAGACATTATGGAGAGTTTTTGCAAGTTGCAGGAAGAAATCAATTAGGTCTTGGAAATTATGGCTTTGATAGCTGAGCCTGAGATTTTCACATAACCCTTTTCTCTTTCCTGGAGCTGCACCCACCAAAACTGGAGAATTTGCATCCTCATCTCCTACCAAGACATAATCCATGACAACTGGAGACTCAGTGTATGCCTGAGATGCAACAGCTCTTTGCACTCTCACTTAGCAACTCTACATCACAATTGTGAATGAAATAGAATGGTTCATAAATTGGTTTTAATTGCAAAGAGTCAGAATCTTTCCTCAGCCGTAAACCACAGAGCAGAAAAAGTATGTTCATGCTACATCCCAGTCTACAAATCTCACTCTTGTCTAACATGTGGAGGCACGCATAGATACATAAATAACAAATGTAATTTGATATACCTGGCAGGCATTTCAAAATGCAGAATGTCCTGGACTAGAGAAAGCATGTACTTATTCATTTCCAGTGGCAGCTCTCCAATTGAGAGCAGGAGGTTTTTAACTTCCATAAAGGAAGGATTGTTGCTCAAAATAATAGCAGCCGCGGTGACACGTACAGTTTTCTCATGGACTTTGCGGTTCTGGTGATAAATCCTGTTCAATGTTTTCTTCACCTAATTGGGATAAAATCCTAGTCAGTTACATGGCTGGTTTAGAATAGGCCAAAAGGACAGTCTCCAAACAAATGAAACTGCTAAGTTACAGGGATTTCACAATGCATCTCGAATACATGTATAAATATATTACTGAAGGCTTTCATGGGTAGAATCACTGGGTTGTTGTGAGTTTTCCAGGCTGTATGGCCATGTTCCAGAAGCATTCTCTCCCGATGTTTCACCTGCATCTATGGCAGGCACCCTGAGGTTGTGAGACCTCACAATCTCTGAGGATGCCTGCCATAGAAGCAAGCGATGCAGGTAAAACATGGCCATACAACCTGGAAAACTCACAACAACCCAATAAAACAAAGATAATTTTCAGGACAGATCTCTTGCAAGGAATATTGTTTATCTCAAACCACAGTGGAGAAAAGAATGAAGTGTAATATCTAACATGTAGAGTACACATTTGAAGTTTTGATATTTGCAGATTTGATTATTCATGGATCTGATTAAAATGTTATCCCTAGAAATCTCTAGTTTCTCCATTGTGACACTATAGTCAACTTCCTCTGTTCATGATGGAGAACCTAGAGATTTCGAGAGATAACACCACTTTAGGGACCATATTAAATGATCAGGTTCAGCCTACCTTGCATTAAATGGGGTCTATTTCCCTTAGGGCCATTCCATACAGACATATAACCCAGAGCATCAATGCAGGTAATCCACAATATCTGCTTTGAATTGGGTTATCTGAGTCTACATGGCCACATAATCTAGTTCAATGAAGATTTTATATTGCTGTGTGGAAGGGGCCTTAGGCTACTTGAGATTAGAGTGCAATTTCTCTTTCAGCAAAAGAAACAATTGTTGTAAGATGTCACCCAAGTTACCCTAGCTCAGCGTTTCTCAACCTGGAGTCAGGACCCCTGGAGGGGGTCAAAAGAGGGTTGTCAGAGGGGTCATCAAAGACCATCAGAAAACACAGTATTTTCTGTTGGTCATGAGAGTTCTGTGTGGGAAGTTTGGCCCAATTCTATTGTTGGTGGGGTTCAGAATGCCCTTTGATTGTAGATGAAGTATAAATGCCAGAAACTACCATTCCCAAACTCTACCAGTGTTCACATTTTAGCATATTGAACATTTGTGCCAAGTTTGGTCCAGATTCATCATTGTTTGAGTCCACAGTGCTCTCTGGATGTAGGTGAACTCCAAAGCTCAAGGTCTATGCCCACCAAACCCTTCCAGAATTTTCTGTTGGTCATGGGAGTTCTGTGTGTCAAGTTTGGTTCAATTCCATTGTTAGTGGAGTTCAAAATGCTCTTTGATTATAGGTTAACTACAGTAATTTGGCAACAACAACTCCCAAATGACAAAATCACCCCACCCCCCAACCACACCAGTATTCAAATCTGCGAGTTTTGGTTATTTGTGTCAGATTTGGTCGAGTGAATGAAAATACATCCAGTGTATCAGACATTTAAAATTACAATTAACAACAATAGCAAAATTACAGTTATAAAGTAGCAACAAAAATAATTTTATGGTTGGGGGTCACCACAACATGAGGAACTATATTAAGGGGTGGAGGCATTAGGAAGGTTGAGAAACATTGCCCTAGTCGGATATATCTTGTCTAGTGTCTTGTGATAAGGATATATAAATGCAAACAAACATCCGTCCCTCCCCACCAATCCTTATTCTTGGTCCCTTGACTTGGAATAACACTTGTTCAGGGCAACAAGTAAGTTCTTAGTGCAGCCTTCCTCAACATATTGTCTTCCGGGCATGGTAAACATTGATCCTCAACATCCCCAGAGAGCACAAGCAATTGCTGGGTTGATGGGGTTAAAGATGATGGGCACTGTAGTCTAACACATGAACTAGTTACCTCACCTATGCCTCCCAAATATCTATCAAAAGGCCTCCTTGGAAAATATTTTAGAATGATGTCATATAAAACTCTTCTGGATATATAATGAGATGGAGTAAAAACAGATGGCAATATTTTGCTTTGCTTCTTTAAAAAAAGACACTATTTAAAATACAGGGTCATCAGGCTAGAATGTACTATCTGAAAGATCATCTAGCACTTGTGGGTTTTATTTTTATTTTTACCTCACTGGTAATGAAGGAATAGTCATATCTCTGCAAGGCAGTCACAGCAACGGTGCTGATGGGCCCCTCTCCTGACTCTGCATATTTTAGAAGCACGGGAATAGCTTCAGGCAAAAGAGCATTCTTTAGCGCCAGAAGGTAGACCTTCACATCATCCGCTTTTTCTGCCCTGTTCAAGCCCCCAAAGATCAGTTTCTTGGCCTCCATAACAGCCTGGAAAAAAAAATACATTGCTGATTTCCAAAACGCTGTTTTACTAAGAAGCAACCCATCTCTTTATGGGTTGCTAAAGTATAAAACTGGGGAAAGCTGCCAGAATAATGTTTAGAAAGAAAACTAGGAATCAATAAATATACATGGAAATATTCAATGAGGTTCTCACATGAAGTTCATACTCGACCATGACTGGGTTTGATCTCAGAGCTATGAAATGAATGCAAAAAGCATCAAGTATTACAATTTAGGAGACAAAAACAGGTATCTGTGAGCTCTTTCCAAACTTAAGAACACCTATTGTTGTTGCTGCTATTATTCTCATTTTATACATATCACCAAACTGCATGCTATAGCAGCATTCTGGAAATGAAGTGATTTCCAACTCTGGGGTTCAGCAATTCCCATAGATGGACAAAACTAGAAGGACAGAAAAAAAAAACAAGAATAAAGGGTTGATAGGATTAGTAAAAAGGAGATACAAGTGATGTAAAAGAAACCAAAATAGGGATGGAATACTGCAAGAAACAGAGGAAACTGCCTGAATAGAGAAAGGCTCTTTCAGATAAAACACGGAATAACAGGACTGTGGTAGTGCAATGGATTAAATTACTGATCTGCTGAACTTGCTGACCAGAAAGTTGGCAGTTTAAATCTACAGGATGGGGTGAGCTCCTGCTGTTAGCCCCAGCTTCTGCCAACTTAGCAGTTTGAAAACATGCAAATGTGAGTAGATCAATAGGTACTGCCTCAGTGGGAAGGTAAACGATGCTCCATGAAGTCATGCTGGCCACATGACCTAGGAMGTGTCTATGGAAAACGCAGGCTCTCCAACTTAGAAATGGAGATGAYCACCACCCTCCAAAGTTGGAAAGGTAAGCCTTTACCTTTATCCGTGTTTTGTTGTTTCCAGACATTGAATGTTTGCCATTGTGTTTGTGTATGATGGAATCCATCCTGATACATAATGCTTTATTTGTATTCCACCCTGAGTCTCATCGGGGAGATAGGGTGGAATACAAATAAAGTATTATGATGATTGCAATTATTATTAGGCACCAATGGGCCAAATGAAGTAAAGAAGTAGTCTGATCTGCTTCCAGACAGACTCTACTCTGAATTTACTTCCTTACCATTGAAAAAAATTTAAAGTATTTTTTATGAAAAACAAAAAAAGTCAGAGGAAGCAGAGTGTGTACAAATGTGGATGCTATTACTTAGACAACCAAATACACAGTGTTAAACAGTGTAAATAAAGCAGAGTGATTCAATGACAAAAGCCTAGTATGGAAGCTTTCTTTAATGTGACTTCAGAGCTGCATCACTCTCTTGTCCTTTTCATCAACCAGTGTTATGGTGGCGGAAGAAAAAAATAATACATACTGGTAGTTTGCAGCCTCCTCTGTCACACAACTTCCTGATGAGTGCTCCAGTAATTATAACAACGATTTCTCGGATTTCATTGCTGCCGATTTGACTGTTATAAGTATTCTGTTATTTAAAAAGAAAAAAAGAGAAGAGATTACTAATATTTGCCATTTAAATCTAACTCTCTGAAATATCCCTAATTCTTCTGGCTGTGTTTATACTTGCATCTAACATTAATTCATGGATGCATTGAAAATAAATTTATTAGATTTGCATTTCTGTAGAGAAGTATCCAATTTGCGTCTCTCAAGACTATGTACTATGAATCAGAATCTGAATTCCACCATATCAACAGACATACATTGCTGGATGGACTGTAGTTACCTGAATCCATAGACACAACCAAAGACTATTTAATTACAAAATTAAATTATTTTGGTCCCAGGATACCAGAATCATCCTGGAGGACCTAGACATTCTTAGGCATCTTCTCTAGGAATGTGCAAGGTTCTGCTAGGTAACTCTATAGTAACTTCTGAGAGCAAGTATACGATAGAATTGCCTGAAGACCTAGCAAATTCCCAGTGAGGCCATTTCTACCAAACTATGGATATGTGTTCCGCAGTTACAGGTGTCTTGCGATACGTAGACATGCAAGATTTTGATACAGTTCAGACAACAAATGCACATGTATTATGTATACATTTCAAAAATACACGCCAATAAAATGCCTCCATGCTCAAGCACTCATGCCCTTTAGTAAGTGCAAAAAGTGTGTAGGTTAATGTGTGTTAGAAAGATTTTATGTATGTGTGTGTGTGCACCTTGATTTATGGTAAACCCATGGATTTCATTGGATTTTCTTAGGCAAGAAATACTCAAATATGGTTTCTTGGAGCCTTCCTCTAAAATTAATTGTTATACACCTGGGAAAAAAGTAATGCAAAAGGGCATCCTGGGGTTAGTGGGTAAAATTTTTTCCACTGAGCTTGAAAAGACAAATGGAATTAGAATACTGGAAGAAAACTGGGAAATTAAGAGCTTTTCCACACAGCCATATAACCCAGACTATCTGCTTTGAACTGGGTTATCTGAGTCCACACTGCCACATATTTTAATTAAAGCTCCAGGCCCTGAAAAACATAGGCAATAAAGCTCAATGTGCAGAGGAAATCCTTTTCTTCTCAGACCCCTCTCAGTAATAATCCTCCTTTGACTGAATGGCAATTAGCCCAAGGAATTTCACCATCATTGCAATGTTATTTGCCATGTTGTGGATGGGATAGATAGGAATTGTTGCTGGGAAAAGAAGGCTTTGATCTCTGCTTGTATAGATTACAATGTTGACCGTAAAACACATATTCCATCCTCCAAATGGGATTATAACTGATCTCACATTTACAAGCACAAACCCTTGTTGTTAACTTTACTGAAAATGAGGCCCATTGTTGACAATATAAAGACATTAACAGCCCAGGTCAAAGAATGCACTGCTCTGTCCAAAAAGACTGATTTCCAATAGACAACAATATGGGATTCCAGCCTTAATCTCACAGTTAGAACCTCATTCCTATTTCCTTTTTGGACCATAGAGTTGTGAAGAAAAATCTTACAATTAAAGACTTGAGTAGGAACTCATTAGGATGAGATGCAAACCCAGAGGCATACAGGAACCGCTCCTGTAGGACAGATCCATTCTTGTTCTTGAAATCCAGAAAATCCAGCATGGCTCCTAGAGATGCCGTGGTCTGTGCCGAGGCTACAGCGTCAACTAACTGAGGACTGGAAAACAGAACAAGGCAGCAAAGTAAAAACAAAGAACCAAAAAACACAACTTTGAAGCACACAACACTCCCCTTAACCTATCTAGTTACCTACCTATCTCTTTAATTTTATATCCCATTTTCTACCAATAGGTACCCAAGGCAATTTACAAGATCAAAACAGAGCAAAACATTCCAACACTACATAAGCTTTAAACATAACTGACTATCATATAAAAAGGTTCATGAGATCTTGAAAATTTTAATAGACTACACCCTGTTTAGCACTTGGATGAAAAACGGCCAAGGAAACCAGGTGCTTTAAGCTATGTAAAAATCAGTTGGTGAGTATGTTAACTGAAAAATGCAAAGCATGAAGCTGATTGGTTGGGCCATGCCCGAGAGGATAGCTGAGCCTGGGAGTTTTGGCAACAGTTACATGTTTAAGTTTTCTGTGCAGGAGTTTGCCTTGACAAGTTTGTATTATTTCTGCTTCTGAGCTACTGGAAGAAGATTCTTCACATGGACACCAAAGGACCATTTGAATCTCTCTCAAAGGACACTGTGTGAATCAGTTCAACTGTCACATGACTGTATATATGTTGCTACGCATAAGAGTAAACAGCTTATTCTTTACTGATCATCTGTGTGGCATATCTTTTCTCTAACAAGACAGTGTGTGGATTGATAAAGATGTGAACCCTCAAAATCCCCTACTTAGGAAAACCCTTTGAAATTCATGAGGTCAACATAAGTCAGTGGGCAACTTAAAGACACATATGTACACATACGCGTGCACAAAATCCATATTTGAATACAATATAAAATAACTTAAAAGACATAGCAAGTATAGATATGTTACAGGGAGTCCTTTAATTTGTTTTAAAATTAATTTGTTGCATCTGAAGGCTTTGCGTAGCAAAATTCCACCTTATTTTTTTGTCAAAGCAAGGGTTTTTATTACAAAGATCTAGAGGTGTTGAGAGCCACAAACAAAACTTTTGGGGCTATATGCAGTCCAAAGGCCACATTTTGCCCACTCCAGAGCAAAAGAGACGCTGCAAAAGGAGTTGCCAACAACTCACAGTATTCCCATGTTTCGTTCACTTCTGAGTATCTGCAGGATTTCCTCTTTCGTAGCTTTTCTTAAATTTTGAATAAGGTACAAAAATCCTCTTGCAGCATCAGCTTTTGAAAGGTTTTCTGGTTCCAACTGTTTTCGGATGTTCTCCCATTGTTGAGAAAGCTGCAAAAAAAATGACATGTTGGAGATAAATTATTTCATCTGGTTTGTGGGTTCAAGTTACTTGGTTGGTGATTTCCACTGAGCAAAGAAGAAGAAGAGGAAGAGGAGGAGGAGGAACTTTATTTTTATACCCCACCTCCATCTCCCCAAAGGGACTCGGGGTGGCTTACATGGAGCCAAGCCCAACCAACATACAGTTAAAAACATAGCAAATAAAAAATTAAAACAATATAAAACAGCATCATAAACAATAATAAAACAAGCATCACAAGCAACAACCAGAAATACTTCAAGCCTCATTTTGCGGGGGAGGGGGCTGATGTGTAAACAAGTAAAGAATAGGCTGGTCAATAAGGTGGATAGAACATATAGCAACATAGGAATAGAGTAGTTATGATAAAGTCATTTTAACTTAAAAGTGCAGTAATCAAATACAGGAACTTGATTTTAGGCCATGGTTAAGGACCATTTGTCAAAGGACTCATCAATCAAATGCACAATGGAACATCCATGTCTTTAGTTCCTTACGAAACGTGGATAGGGAGGGTGCTAGCCTGATCTCCCTGGGGAGGGAGTTCCAGAGAAAAGAAATATGGAAAAGAAATATGCTATTTATATAAGTAGTCCCTACTTATCTGATAGATTAGGGCAGGGGTCCTCAAACTTTTTAAACAGAGGGCCAGGTCACAGTCCCTCAAACTGTTGGAGGGCCGGATTATAATTTGAAAAAAACATACATGAATTCCTATGCACACTGCACATGTCTTATTTGTAGTGCAGAAGACACTTAAAAACAATACAATAATTAAAATGAAGAACAATTTTAACAAATATAAACTTATTAGTATTTCAATGGGAAGTGTGGGCCTAATTTTGGCTGATGAGATAGGATTGTTGTTGTTGTTGTGTACTTTCAGGTCATTTCAGACTTCGGGTGACCCTGAGCGAGGGCCGGGTAAATGATTTTGGAGGGCTGCATCCAGCCCCCCGGCCTTAGTTTGAGGACCTGGATTAGGAACTGAGGTGCTGTCACAAAGAGGAATTGGTTAAAAAGAGAAACCTAATGTATTTCAGCTTGCAAATGCTTATTATTATTATTATTATTATTATTATTATTATTATTATTATTCCCTACTTTTATCTCTGTGATTGAGACGTAAAGTGGCTTCTGAAAAACATAAAGAACACTGTAAGAAGGGCTTTTGCACACATTCAGAAGTGATTCAATGAAAAATTTGTTCTTTCCATAGACAAGCCTTGGGACTGAACATGTGCACAAGTAAGAACCTGACGAAAGAGTGGACCCCGTGTCAATTTAATGAAACCTGTCTGTAATCTGCAAGAACTGAAAGAGTGAGTCATCACAAAGTAAGGTGTCAGAATGGATGCCTGTATAATGTTCTATATCATGTTTAAAGCTGGGAGTAAATGTTACTCCCTTGGGGACAGTGTGTGTATATATGTATGTGTCTATATAAATTTAGAGGAGCCTTTTACAGTATTGGACTATTAGTTTCCAACAATATTTTGACACTTTCTGAACAATCCTAGGCAATTTTTCTCACAGTAGAACAAAGGGGCTTCCTCTCTAGTTATGTTTTATAGGTTTTCAGTCTTGACGCTACTGATTTTCAAGAACACTGTGGATATTCCGTCTTGTGGCTTTTTGTTTCCTCAAGCTTGCCCTTTCAAACAACCTCCCTGGGAGAAACTGAGTAGATATTTTAGCCTCTGCTATCACATGCCTCCACTTCTGTTATCTAGAGTTATCTATAGCATTCATTGGAGAAAGCTCAGCTGTTCTCTCCAGTAATGTTTATTGCAGGTCTTCTAACTGAGAAATCACATCAACGCCAGCTCAGCCTTTGCTAAAATACCCTATCTGCTGCGTAGGGTCAGTGCCATTAAGAATGGCAGCTGATGCTAACCACAAATAGCACCAGGATAGCACAGAGTTCAGCTTACCTGAGTTGTAAGTAAACATAATTTGTTAATGATGAGTGAGGTGGAGGCTATTTCCTGTGGATCAGTGACCAACAGGAGTGTGTTAATGGCCCAGGACACAGGTGGAGACATTTAGTCTCATCTGGTCCCTGCTGCATAGTACTGTACAGGTTGAGTATCCTTTACTTGGGACCGGAAATGTTCAGTATTTCATTTTTTGGGAGCAGAGCAGGCTTTTGGGATACTTGCATATACATAATGAGATATCTTGGAAATGGGATCCAAGTCTAATCATGAAATTCATTTCTGTTTCATACACACGTTAAACACATAGCCTGAAGGTAATTTTAAACACAATATTTTAATAGTTTTTGTGTATGAAACAAAGTTCATGTACACTGAATTAAAAAGCAAAAGTGTCATTATCTCATCAATCATGTGGACAATTTTTGGAATATTTCTAATTTTGGAATTCCCGATACAGGATATTCAACCTGTACTATGATTAGGGCTACTATAAAATAGGAGTAAAAATCATGTGGCCTTCCCATTTGCTAGAGTACAATTCCAAGAAATCTTAACCAACATGGCCAACAATATTGAATGTTGACAACTGCAGTGCAATTGCAACCTTTGGAAGTTTGCATATTTCTAATTCTTGCTATCAACATTGAGAATGCTCATCTGAAACAAAGTTGGGAGGCCATGTTTTGGGGTTGCTTTGGTTGTGGATTCCTATACTGCCTTGGACTAAATCATATAGTTAAAGACCATTTAACTATATGATTCTAATCAATACTCAAATAAAATAAATAAAAATTAAAATGGTCTTATTCAACTGGATTACAAGAAATCACATCCAAACATGCCACTCAGAAAAAGAAAACTCAAAGCTGCTGGATCCCATTATGCAATACTTGACATATTTAAGTCTGCATAGCTCTGATCAGGCATGTAGCCGGGGGGGGGTGGGGGGGCTTCAGCCCCCCCGAAATTCTCATGGTGGTCCGCGAGAAGGCCTTACTGGCATTATTTAAACTGTTATGTTTATTCATATCATGATCTGATCACCATGCTCAATATATCTCATATGCATGGGGGTACTGGGGTAACGATACAAAAGGTTTGCTAGGGTAGACCCTCTTTCACTCAGACTCAGCCCCCCCCCCCCCCCGAATCAAACTCAGCCCCCCCGAAACAAAATCCTGGCTACGGGCCTGGCTCTGATATAATTATTATTCACGAGTGTGTTCATGCAAATATGCTTTTTTATTGCAATCCCTGGTCAATACCATCCTTGCACGCACCAGGAGGTTTAGCTTTCATTTCAAACATTGTAAAGAAGCCTTTTTTAGTTCATACACCTTTGTAATTGAAAAGTTCTAAGGTAAAGTAAAAGTTTCCCCTTGACATTAAATCTAGTTGTGTTCGACTCTGAGGGGTGGTGCTCATCTCTATTTCTTTCTCTCTTTTTTGAATAAGAAAGGGATATTTATTATCATTTCCTGTTTTTAATATATTAGTATGCTAACTCTTCCACAGCCAAAGTGAGCCTGCAATTCTTAAAATTACACAAACTCTTATTTTGAAGTCCTCAGCATGGTTTATATTATAAATAGGAAAGACGAATTATTCTTCCTCTTAGAATGGAAACGGCTTTTTCTTTTTGGTGAGTCAAAGGTGGTTTGTGTCAAGGCTCATTCGTCACAGTGCAGAGTCATCACACTTTTGTCATTTTTCAAAAGTATTGCCTATATCCGTTTTGAAATTCCTGTCCTCTTATAAATTGAAATTGGTCAAAACTGGAATAAGATAAAAATATTATAGCTTATCATTCATGCTTTACTGGATGACTTGTCCATTGATTGGCACAAGATCAGAAAAGTTTGAGTAGTTGCAGAGAGAGAGAGAAAAAAACTCTGTTTAAAATGGTTATATGCATCCTTCTATAACTGTTGTTTGTTTTTGCATGCAGCACTGTCCAAAAAAATATAATATATCAGAAATTAGTTTGCTTCCCCTTCACTGCTTGCCTAGAAACTAGTTTGAGATCCATACGGTATGTTTATTGAGTTTTCCGTTACAACAAACTACTAAGCAACGTTGTGTCATGAGTATTACTTTAAAAACTGCTTGCATTACAAAATTAAGTTACAAAAGTTACAAATAACTCTTGTTGAACGATCCAAGTACAGGGTTTTTAATTAGACAAAGTAGCAACTGATTTCTCATCTCTATTTCTAAGCTAAAGAGCCAGCGTTGTCCGTAGACGCCTCCAAGGTCATGACTACATGGAGCGCCGTTATCTTCCCACAGAAGTGGTACCTATTGATTTTCTGACATCTGCATGTTTTCAAACTGCTAGGTTGGCAGCAGCTGGAATTGACAGCAGGAGCTCACCCCGTTCCCTGGATTTGGACTGCTGACCTTTCAGTCAGCAAGTTCTGCAGCTCAGTGGTTTAACTATATTAGGGACCTGGTGCTGGGCAGTAATGTGTGGACAACCTAGATATAAATTTACACGTGTAGGATAAGTATGTATTATTGGAACAACTGTGCAATTTCTTTAGTATATGCGGACATCCAGACCAAATGGGAAAATAAAGAGATTTTGATAAAGTATTATTTAGCAAGGGCAACACATCTCAATTTATGTAGACCAGCTCTGTTCAGTTAAGTGGATTGGTTTATCATCACCCCCACCCCACCCCACCCCCTGCAGAAGCCAAATTTGGATAGTCTAGAATTCTGAAACAGAGCTATGTTACTTATTTTTATCTGATGCTATAGTTACGTTTCGGTTGTTGCAGGCAAACTCTAATTTGTGTGGCTACAGTTACAGCAGCATCCAGTTACTGTCAGGCAAAGGAGAGCTAGTTGGCCTGACCTCCTGCTGGAGACACACCCTTGTCTTATTTCTAGAAAAGACTGGCATGGAGTCATATTGGTTTTCCCTTGACCCCAATGGTTCTTTGGATGATAAGAAGGACTGGAGGGCACCCCAAGCTGTTAAGAAAACAGAGCTCCAAACTGGGAGTCCGAGCACTAGACTGATATTCCTTGCCAAGAAAGGAATATCAGCTTAGTTTGAGCCTCAGTTAAATGCCAGTTTATAGATCAATGCTTTTTTGAAGAAACAATCTGTCCTTCCTCTTCTTTTTTTCCCCTGTGCTCACTCTCCCCCATGTGTCTTGTCATTTTAACTGGTAAGGTTGATAGCAGGGATTCTGTCTCAGATGTGAGTTGCTTTGGATAGGGGAGACAATAATTGTCTGATATATAAATTAATAAGAAAAACACAAACAAACTGAAAGCAGGCACATTTGTTTCAATGGTGTTTTGTCCCTTATTTATTTTGATGGCATAGGGATGTCATGAATCTATAAAAATAAACCACACTAAGTTTAGCTGGAAGTTATTTCAAGGAAATCTACTAACAAATAAGGAACATTTATTGGCATTTGAGCCTGGAAGGTTCAATATGGCATCAGATCTAGAATGATTGTTACTAAATGGATGGCACAATGGGTTAAACCCTTGTGCCAGCTGAACTGCTGACCTGAAGGTCAGCGGTTCAAATCCATGAGATGGGGCAATCTCCCATCTGTCAGGCCCAGCTTCCCATCCGAGGACATGGGAGAAGCCTCCCAAAGGATGGTAACACATCCAGGTGTCCCCTGGGCAACGTCTCTGCAGATGGCCAATTCTCACACACCAAGAGCGACTTGCAGTTTCTCAAGTCACTTCTGACATGATTTTTAAAAACCTAGTTGGAGCAATACAACAGGGAGAGTAGCTGGAAAGCACTTCCTCTATTTCTTTCATATTCCTTTGGTTTTTTACCTCCAGGACCTAGAGGCAATCTGTTGATGTAAACACCACTTTCAGCAGAGCTGGGAAGACTTATTTTCCTCTTCCTGAAGTCCTTTATGCCTCCAGGAGAACTTTCTCCTTCCTCTAAATCCACACGGAAACCCAGCCCACAAACTAGTTCAGAACCTTGGATAGCGCTTTCAAAATCTGGAATAAGTCTCAGAGGAGATGTCACTGCCCCACAGATAAGGAAATCGATGGCTGTCCCTTCACTATAGCAATATTCATCATGAAGTTACCACCAAGCAACCAAATTCTCACCTCAAACAGAATGCTGGTTAAATCTCTAGTGCAACTCCCAGAAATCCCAGCCAGTTTACCAGCTGTTAGGATTTCTGGGAGTTGAAGGCCAAAAACATCTGAGGACCCCAGGTTGAGAACCATTGCATGTGTATAAAAAGTCCTTTATTGACAAGTATCACATAAGTCAAATAGACCCCATTGAGGGCTGCTATGAAGTCCAGAATTACCCTTAAAGTCATCTTGACAATTTAATGACCTGACTTTATGGCAAACTCTTCAAACCATTAGCAATTCTTATAAAGGTTATAACCCTTAATGAAACAATGCCATGATATATTACCACATTGTCACGAGATCTGCTATGTTGTCCTGGCAGAGCCACAAAACACTGAAAAGTTCTGAAAAGATTAGTGTTTTATACTTAGAAATCAAAAATCTCTCTAGTATATTGATTAATGATAATTTTATTTAAATGAGTTCAACTATTTTGATTTAATATGTGTGTTAACCTTTTATTTACCTACCGAGGGACAGTTTCTGCATTCCTCTGAGGCAGGCTCTGCCATGAGTGAAACTGCAACATAATTTGAATCCAGAGCCTTGACAATGCTGGCAACTTGTTTCCCAGCCATCATCCTTGGCCCACCTTCTGTTGATTTCAGTTCCATTTTCTGCCTGTATACACACATATTGAAATACTTGTTTAAACTTTGGTTTTGACCCAACAGATTAGGTCCTCAACACTGACAATGACCTTATAATTACTTTAAGCACTACTTCATATTATTCTTTCCTACTACAGAATACCCATTGATGCAATGAGATGTATGGAATCAACATTCAGCAACTGATTTAATGAGCCTGTTCTAGTCAAGACTAAATGATAGGATTCAGGCCAATATTTTTAAATAAAGTAAGGCTGCCCCATTTGAAGCTATCTATAATGGAATTATAGTCATGGACAACGAATGTGTAGTACAGAGCATCCCGAGAAACTTCAAGCAACTTACACCTTTAAACTGCAACATAGATTCTGATATAGAGAGAACTGACATAAAAATAGGAAATTTAAATAACACATTGAATTCAATTTCCTCATTGAAAAGCAACAACAAAAACATAATAAATGGCTCTAATATTCATACAGTACAAAATGCTTTCAAAGTATTTCCTTTCCTTTTTCTTCCATTTTTACTTAAAATTATAGCATGTGTATCCACAATAAAAGGTATCTGGTTAGCTATAAACGGCGCATCAACTGCCTACAGGAACAAAACATTTTCTACAAATAAATCAAACAAGACACCTTACTTTGAAATTATTTTTGCATCACTTTTTCGATGAATGTTTGCTTTTAAAACATGATTTTCCTCTGCCCGCACAGATTTAATGAAGGTGTCCTCCAGCACATATATTGTAGCCGAAGTGGATTTTTTGCTGATGTCAAAGAGCTGAAAAACATTTTGCATTTGTTATTAATTATACATACATGAAATGAGATCACAAAAATACACAAAATCTTTACTCTGATATGCTTGATCTATACTAATATATCTCGGGGAGGGTGGGTGGGTAATCAAATGACATTTCCCTTGTCACATAGCAAAAAGACAATTCCCAGCATGAGCAGCAACCTTTATTCCTATCCACTTGAGTCTTATTTAGGAGGGGAAATACCTAAAGATAAAGATGAGATTATGATAAATTAGACTGCATTTCTTAGGATACACAGTAGGGTCTCGCTTATCCAACATAAATGAGATGGCAGAATGTTGGATAAGCAACATTCTGCCAAAAGGAGGGATTAAGGAATAATAAGGAGGGATTAAGGAAAAGCCTTAATTAAGCACCAAAACATCATGTTTTACAACAAATCAATACATATTAATGTTATGTAGTAATTACTGTATTGTCTAATTTAGCACCAAAACATCACAATTCATTGAAACAGCTGTGGATCTAGGCAGGAGGCAGACTGTGTTGGATAATACAGAACGTTGGATGAGCAAAAGTTGGATAAGCGAGACTCTACTGTACTGTGTTTCTTCAATTGTAAAATAAACTCATCACTCCCCATATAAACATCTCTAAAAATGGGGTGTGTCTTAAAATCACAAGTGCTATATATAGAGAGAGAGGGGGGGGATAGAGGGAGGGAGGGAGGGAGGGAGGGAGGGAGAGAGATTTTTTCGGTTGGTGGTACTGAAACCAATATGCATCTTACAATCGATGGCATCTGAGAATTGAAGGATTATGGTATTAATAGCTATTGGCTCTGAGAACCAAAAAAGCGCAGCCTCTTTCGCCAACATTTCTGTTGAAATTAATGCTCATTCTTTCAGGTTGTGGGGTTCCTAGCTCAAATTAGATGTCCGCTGCAGAAACGGAAGTGATGTCCTTGATGGATCATTGGTGGGATCCAACAAAATAAGTCTTATATCAAATTGAGAATGGGCAACTTGGAAGTCCCTGAACTGCAGAAGTGGAGTGGGCAGATCAAAAGACAACCTGGCAAAATGGAATTACCTAAAAAGAATCCTCCACCTTGTGTGACTGTAGAGCAGAACAAACAACTCCGAGCCTGCATGCTTGTCCACAATGCCCTGCCTCATGTACAGAGGAAGAATTGTTTAAAGCAACAGACAATGCAGTCTCTGTTGCCCGTTTTTGGTCAAAAATTATTTAGCCGCTTGTGCTCCTTCTATTTTTATCAGTTTTATACTTATGTATGCAATGCTTTTGACATTAAATAAATCAATCATATAACTGGGAAAGATACATTGTTCTTCTATGTAAGGCATTTTTCATTATCTTTTTCCAAGCTCAACTATATGAGAACTGCCAGGTACGCTATAATTTGACATTATGTTTGTATCATGTATAGAAGGTGTTAAAAAAATACCATACCTGATTTTGACTGGTGAAACCCATCCGTTCTAACTTACAAGCTTTTATTTTAGTAAGTTGGTTTTCTCGAGCCTGGTAAGTAACATTGCATTTCCCACAGATATCCACCTACAGAGCAAATGACAAAACAAAGTCAAATTGATGTGTCCAAAGCTTTCAAGGCCACAATGTCAATTTCAGATTAGATGCGATATTTGCTTGGGCAGAAGAATTTCTCATTGGTGCTGAAAAGGAAATTACTTCCCCGTGCAAAGAGCAACTTCAGAAGAGTGATTTTCTTTAGAGAATCACCAAAAAAGAAAATAACGAACTTCACAGCAACTGCAACCCAATAAAGCTCCAATCTGATGCCATTTATCTTTTTAAAAATGCCTTTATAATGTTCTGACAAAATACATTTAACCCCACATATAATCTAAACAGTAAATATAGCAGAAAGAATAAACTTAACTTGTAGTTATGTTATCATATATACACCTGGCCTTCTCTCAGTGTTTTTCCTTCTCTCTCTCCCAGTTTTCCCTCTGTCTTCTTTTTTATTGTGTTCACCCAGACACAGCTCCTACAGTATCTGCTTTGAACTGGAATATATGGCAGTGTGGCCTCAAATAACCCAGTTAAAAGCAGATATTGTGGGATTTTCTGCCTTGATATTCTGGGTTATCTAGCTATGTGGAAGGGCCCTCGGAGCCAGACTAGATGCAGCTGATTCATGGAATTAGCAATAGTGTGGATGGCTTTTAGAAGCGTAAACTTCTGTAGGCTTTACTCTACTTCATCAGATGCCATCTGATGAAGTAGATTTAAGTATATGAAAGCTTATGCTACCAACTTCTTTCTCTCAGTTAACCTCAAAGCCGCTACAAGATTCCTTTCTGTAGCAATTATTTAAGATTGCTTAACTTGCGTAATTTAGTACAGTACCTCACTTGCAGTCCCAGAGTGCAACTGTATCTGAAACAAGCTCGCCAAACCTCTCTTGAGATTCTGGATAACTACAGGTTCCTTTTCATAGGAGTAGAAGGTTTTAATCTGAGGAGCAGAGGAAGAGAGGGAGAAAAGGTGAAATATAATACGCACATGATTTTCCTTAAAAATGACATCTCATAATTCAGTCAGGTTACATCATCTATTTATGTAAATAGTATTCAGCCAGCTTCAATTGATTCAACCACAGTTCAAAACAGATATACTCAAAGTGGCTGAAAGAAAAGCAATACAAGAACTTATCAAAGCAACATGGCAATAAACTGACTGATACCCAAACATTTCCAAGAATAAATACAACAATCCAAATAAGCAACTATTCATTTCAATAAATGTAACACAGTAATATTGAAAATTCATCACAAAATATATGAGAACATTCACGAAAACTCATTAAAGGTAAAGGTTTCCCCTGGCAGTTGTGTCTGATTCTGGGAGGTGGTGCTCATCTCCATTTCTAAGCTGAAGAGCTGGAATTGTCCATAGACACTTCCAAGGTCATGTGGCCAGCATGACTGCACGGAGCGCCGTCACCTTTCCACCAAGGTGGTACCTATTGAGCTACCCATGTTTTTGAACTGCTAGGTTGGCAGAAGCTGGGGTCGACAATGGGAGCTCACCCCGCTCCCTGGATTGATGACCTGATGACCTTTCTATCAGCAATTTCAGCAGCTCAGCTGTTTAATCTGCTGCACCACCAGGGGTGGATTAAACTCTTTAAATTGTGTTATTTATACATTGTTAAAATATAGCAACTAGAGAGAGAAGGGTGGGGATCTCTTGTATAACTGGATATGAATAAAGTGATATGTGCAAGAAATAGTATTATAAAAACATAAACAGGTATATGACGAATAGAATCTTTGATTATTACCTTTTTTAAAAAATGTGTGTTAAGGAATATATACTTTTTGTTTGTTTACAGTCAGCTCTACACAATTGTGGGTTTGACTTATTTTTTGATCTGATTATGTTCTCTCTAAAAAAATAAACTCTAGGGTCCTCCAGAGGAAGCTGACCACAGAGTTGTGCTGGAGGGCCTAGGCATTCCTACAGAGATTTTCTTTCGGGTACAAAAATAATTGATTTTTTATTTACAATTTTTTCACTTTCATTGGGGGTTCTGCACCACAACCACAACGGATGTAGAGAACTGACTATATTTCATTTCTAATGATGCTTTTCTCTCAAAGTGAGAGCTAAGACAGCTCCCAAACAGAATCAGTTAAAGAACCTTAACAATAAAAACTTAAAAAACAATTCAAAATCTCATTAAAAAGGATAAAATTATTTAAAAGACACATAATATGTGTTATAAATGAACCACACATAAATGTGTTCAGAAGAGCATCAACTCAATTCCTACAATCTCCAATTCAAAAGTAAATTAAGTAATGGGATAACTTTTTCACTTAAGTTCCTGGAGAGCACTGCTAGTCATACTTTGCTAGATTGAGAAATAGTCCTAATTCTGACCTGGTATAAAATCACTCCCACACTCCCTGTCACTGACTTTTGAAAAATGCTTTGAACTCGAGGAAATTAAACAGAAAATATCTAACACTCTTACATTTCATCATAAATCCTGCCTTCACAGCACAGCAGAAATTTCAAGATAACATATATCTTGAACTTTGCCTGAGCTATATCAGACAAAAGTGAGGCTCAAGTAAAGAAGCAGTATAGAAACGTGTCAGTGGACTCTGAACTGCCACAGAACAGTGCTATATATGTACTTAACACAAGACTTTGTACCTTTACCTACATACTCAAGGAGCAGGAGCCTGCAAGATTTCCCTCCCCAGAGCCCTTACATTACAAAATGAGACTGCAAGCAATACATTCTCTGTTTTGCGAGAAGGAGGGGATATACATGTATGAATGTGTGTGTGTGTGTGTGTGCGCGCGTGCGCGCGCGTGTTTGTTGGACTTGAACATCCATAGATGTTGGTATCCAAGGGAGTCCTGAAACCAAAACCAGGAGATATCAAGGGCCCATTGTATTATGTGGGCAAAATCTCTTTTTCTTTGCAAAAGAAAAAGCAAAGAGGACTGGTAACACCTGATGGATGTGATTTGAAGGGACAGCAAAGTCTCTGGATGAGAACTTGATTCTGAAAAACAGACCGAAATGTTCTTGCCTCATAATATTTTTATGGTCATCTTCGAGGGATTCCAGCTTTTAAATTTTTCTGAAATAAAGATTTCCCTCTTAGCTTCCTTACCTTTCCACGAATCCAGTGCAGAACCACAGGCCTCTTTAAAGCAGTCAGATGTTCTTTTTCAATTACTGCATCTATCTTTTTGCCTTTAAAAACATTTTTTCCTGGAGGGCGCTCATTCACATTTTCAACAGCTACATCTTGAATCTGGGAAAGGAGAAAGGTGAAAAGCATTAAAATGCCTGTCTTGCAGAGTTCTGAGGATTACCTGGGAAGGAATCCCACTGGAGCATTGAAGCACACCAGAATACCTGGGAGTCACTCTGGATTATGCTCTGACTTATAAGACGCACTACCTGAATATCAAGACTAAAAACTTGGATGTTCAAGCAGGCATTTGGTTAATTCGGTGCAATGAATGTGTCGACTACGGATTGGTAATATGGATGATGCAATTGGACCACGATTTTAGTTAGGAGATGTATTGGATTGTGATTTACGTGTAATATTGTGTATTATGTTTTTTATGGTTTTAATTGTATACTGTGTACTGTATATTTTGTTGTAAACCGCGTTGAGTCACCAGTTAGGCTGAGAAACGGCGGTATACAAGGACAGTAAATAAATAAATAAATAAATAAATATCAAGCAAAAAGTGGGTGCTAGAAATAATATCATACAAAAACTGACTGGCACAACCTGTGGATCACAACCAGACACAGTGAAGACATGTGCCCTTGTGCTTTGCTACTCTGCTGCTGAATACATATGCCCAGTGTGGAAAAATCTCACCACGTTAAAACAGTGGATGTGGCTCTTAATGAGACATGCCGCATTATTACAGTACCACTGGAGAAATGTCACTGTTTAGCTGGTATCGTACCATCTGACATCCGTCAGGAAGTAGCAGCCAGCAATGAAAGAACCAAGGCATTGACATCTCCGGCCCATCCTTTGTTTGGATATCAGCCAGCATGTCAATGCCTTAAATCAAGAAACAGCTTCCTATGATCTACAGAGATACTCACAGGAACACCTCAACAAGAGAGTGCAAAAGTACAAGACAAAACTCAGCACCTCAATCAGTGGCTGAGACTGGATGAGAAGCTCCTTCCTGGGCACACAGAAGAGTGGACAACCTGGAAAGTGCTGAACAGGCTGCACTCTGGCACCACAAGATGCAGAGCTAACTTTAAGAAATGGGGCTACAAAATGGAGGCCACAACATGCAAGTACAGAGAAGAGTACACCCACAGACCACATACTACAAAGCAACTTGAGCCCTGCCATATGCACAATGAACCTTCTCGCCGAGACACTAGAGGTACTCCAAGTGGCCAGCTTCTGGTCAAAGGACATTAAGCATCATGCCAAGTTTTTAAACTTTGTTTATTTTTAAATGAATTTTAACTGTACCCTCAATTCACTTCTGACACAATAAATAAATAGAGACAGATTTGCAGAGAAAATTTCTCATTAGTATGCATTTTCACTTCTCCCACGCTTATGCTTTCGGTATATACCTACCAGTACTGTACTTCAGTAACTATAGATTATGGAGACAGTTTTCAAAACCATCATATAATCTGGAATGTCTTCAAGCTACTAGATTCAGACACCTTCTGAAATGGTGACAGCCCAGGCATGAGGCAAAGAGTAATATGATACTTTGAACCTAACCTGTGTTCAAATACCAAACATTGGATTTCAGGATTCGGATCCCTGCTCAGTTATGAAAAACCCCTAGGACATATTGAACAAATCATATGAACCGAGCCTTAGAAGAAGGCAATGTAAACCACTTTTGAATAAATCTAGTTTAGAATACGGTTTTAATAAGTTGGAGTCAACTTGAAAGCACATAACAAACAAAAAACTTTAAAATTGCAATTTTGAATACCGAGGATTGGAGCTTAGGTTTAAATAAATTCGTCCCACCACATGTGCAGGTTATTCTTTTGCGGATTTGATTATTCATTGATTTTGTTAAAATGTTCTCTCTAGGAATCTCTAAGTCTCCTGGAAGATGACCACAGAGACACGTTGGAGGACCTAGATATGTTCTCTCATGTAAAAAAAACAGTTTTAAAAATTCACAATTTCCCCACTTTTCATGTGTCCTTCACCCCTAACCCTGCAAATGTGGCAAGCTGATTATATAGCAAATATTTTTGTATTTTCTATTCTATTTAATGTAGAAGTAGTAAATTACTTTCATTTTCACTCTGTATCACACTATATGCATTAAGCTTTCCTTATAAAAACAAACAACACAATGTGCTAAATATGCTGTTTCACATTAACTGCCTACCGCAATTTTGATCAGCTGGTCGTCATCATTATTGGGGTTCCTCCATACTAAGTTGACATCCACTCCAGATGAAATTCGGTAGCCCGCACTCTCCTGTGGTGCACCGTTCACCCTGTCAATAAGTACTTCCGTAGAGTAAGCAAATTTGTACAACTTGTCATTGTTTATCCGTGGACCAATATTGTGGCCTGTATGGGGAAGAGAAGAACATAAATTTTAAAACATCATGTCAATGTGTGAGGGCTCTTCCAGACAGGCCCTACATTCCAGGATCTGATATCAGGTTTTCTGTCTATCCCAGATTGCAGACTCATATAATCCAATTTAAAGCAGAAAACCTGGGATCAGATCCTGGGATATGAGGCCTGACTGGAAGGGCCCTGAGTCATACATCCAGATCATATTTTCTTCCTTTCCCTCGTGTATTACTTACACATGAGAAAGGACACAACTCAAGCCTGTCTAGGGGTTTATACATTCACATGAAGCCAGGATCTCTTTACAGGCTCAGAAGTATTTCCTTATTTAATATAGTATTTAACATGTGGCACTGAACATGTAACTTGAAGTATCACATTATAATACTGAACCCATGTCTACTGTAAGTAATGTACTGCATGGGGGCAGACCAATTAAATCCTAATCCAGACAAGACAGAGGTGTTTGTCTGGCTTGCTGGGGTTGTGTAACTGCTTCAAATTTGTCTTAACTTTACAAGAGCTATCCAAAGTGCTGAACCTATTCTGGGGTTCAGAGCTATGAATTAAAACCTATAGCAAATTTACCTCTCTACTGATATAGGAACTACCTGCTTGTCATGGTTTTGGTTTTGGTCTCAAAATATATTTTGCTTGCCCCACTTATTATTCAATAACATCAGGGTGGTATAGGATGGCTGGCATTATGAATTCACAGCCTAGACTTGGTATCCAGCAGAAAAAAATGAACTGAAGCTGGTCCTTTCCCACAGGGCTTTATACTGTACTACATGGGGAGTGTAGGCAGGGCCTCCGCCAAAATGTTTCATTCCTAGAGTTTTAAAATGCTACTCATGCTCAAGAAAAACCCCTATGTGCGATTTTCACAGACATCACAAAGAATCACATTTGTGGATCTAGAGTAAGACCCCTAATCAGAGAACCCATGTTCATAGTTAAATTTACCTGCGTCCAGGAGAAAATTGTCTAAGAATTAATTAGATCCTCCAGGCAATCCTATGGAATACTTCCACCAGAAGTTACTACAGGGTTGAGTTGGAAAACCTTCCAGTTTCCCAGAGATACCTCCCTAGGAATCTCTTCAATGTATACAATGATATAAAATTATGTTATTTTATGGTGTTTGGTAATATCCACAGTTTAATGTAACCACAGCCTGGACTGTACTATATCTCCTTGTGGATACATGGTCTTACTATATTGCCATGATCATAAATCCCTGTCTGCAGCCCATCGAAAGCACCAGCAGCTGTACAGAGAGAAGGATGCTTTTCCAGCTGCCAACAAGGGCACAAGGAGGATTTCACTAGCTGTTCCCTCTGAGCAGCTAGTAGTGATGAGGAACTGCAACAAGGATCCTGCTTCTGGTTGCAGCAGCTTTGCTTCACTGGTAAGAGAAGGCTGGAAACATCCTCCTCTCTGGGCCCTTCTTGGCAGCTGAACAGATATTTGCTCAATGGGGCTTCAGATTGCTGTGAGGGAGATCAGACCAGGAGATATTACTAACCGTATATACTTATGTATACGTTGACTTCATGTATAAGCAGAAGGCAGGTTTGGGGGGCAAAATGATGGATTTTGATATGACCTGTGGATAAGTTGAGGGTGATTCTGTGGAGAGGAAAAGCCACCAATGCTGAATCAGGGGACCCATTGTTGTGAATCACTGCCATTTCCCTGCCCAAGCATTCAAAAATCCAGAATCAGCATTACAGCAGAGAGAGTAAAGGGGGTTCCCTTTTGCCATGTTACACAGAAAAGGGGATGGTTCCTTTGTTGTTCATTCATTCAGTCGTCTCTGACTCTTCGTGACCTCATGGACCAGCCCACGCCAGAGCTCCCTGTCGGCCGTCACCACCCCCAGCTCCTTCAATGTCAGTCCAGTCACTTCAAGGATGGTTCCTTATTTTATAATAGTTCTTACTTACACTGACACATTGATAGGCTGACCTGCTTTTTTGGGTTGATTTTTTTTTGCTGAAAGTTCTATATACATGAGTATATAGTTACACATTCATAACTAGTTAAGCATTTGTAACTAATTAGACGATGTAGAGCAGGGGTCCTCAAACTTTTTAAACAGAGGGCCAGGTCACAGTCCCACAAACTGTTGGGGGGCCGGATTACAATTTGACAAAAACATGAATGAATTCCTATGCACACTGCACATATCTTATTCGTAGTGCAAAAAAAAACCCACTTTAAACAATACAATAATTAAAATGAAGAACAATTTTAACAAATACAAACTTATTAGTATTTCAATGAGAAGTGTGGACCTATTTTTGGCTGATGAGATAGGATTGCTGCTGTTGTTATATGCTTTCAAGTCATTTCAGACTTAGGTTGACCATGAGCAAGGGCCGGGTAAATGACCTTGGAGGGCTGCATCCGGCCCCTTGGCCTTAGTTTGAGGACCCCTGATGTAGAGTATCAAGCAACTTTACCACTATGTTTACATCCAAGACTAGTGACTTATGGAAAGCTGCAAATCCCTCCCTCCCTTTCCACATTCCAGAAGTGAATGTATTCCAGAGCCCTTGAATACATGTAAAACCCTATTCTGACCAAAGAGTTCTGCTTGGTCCACCTCCACCTCACTATCTTGCTGAAAACATCTTCTCCACCTACTATGTTGCTTTCATTTAGTCTTCTGCAACAGCTGCACCTATGGTGTCTTAAAAATGCTCTCTGTACAGAAACTAGCCAACAGAGCTTCCTTCTACTGAAATGTAAGCATGTTAATGTTTACCTCATCCCCAACCAAGGATACCGTTGTAATGTATTTTAACAAGGTTTAAAAACTTGGCATTATATTAAATGCTCTTTAACCAGTAGCTGGCCACTTGGAGTACTTCTGAAATTGCTATAAAGAGGTCCTCCATTGTGCATGTGGCAGGGCTCAGACTGCATTTTAATAAGTGGTTTGTGGTTTGCTCTTCTCCACACTTGCATGCTGTGGACTCCACTTGGTTGCTCCATTTCTTAATATTGGCTTTGCATCTCATAGTGCCAGAGAACAGTCTATTCAGCACTTTCCAAGTCGCCCAGTCTTCTGTGTGTCCAAGGTGGAGTCTCTCATTTGGTATCAGCCATGACTTGAGGTTCTGGGTTTTAGCATGCTGAGGTGTTCCTGCTAGCATCTCTGTAGATCTTAGAAAGCTATTTTTTCTTCGTGGTCTCTGCGAATGCACACTTGTGGAGAGACTGCGCCT